GGCGGGTGTGGGCGCCAGGCCCTGCCCTCGGCGAGCCCCGCAGGGGCGTGAGAGCCAGCCAGCTCCCCTGGGCACCCAGCCCCCGGGAACAACTTTTGAGATTTGATTCGTCCACGGGCTTTTTTTTTTTTTTTTTTGAACTATCCTTTCCCACCTCGAGCACAGCTCCTGATTGCTCTTTTTCTTTTGTGCAGGTGACAACAGCGAGCACCCCCTGTTCTGTGTTGAATATTCCCCTTACTGCTCCGTCTTTGCTTTCTCCCCTACCCTGCAGCCCAATACCAATTATTGCTGCCTCCTCTTGCCGCTAGTGCCACCTGCCGCCCCGGCAGCCTCCCCAGCGGCTTCCCCAGCTGCCTCCCCAGCGGCCTCCCCAGCGGCCACCCAGGTGGCCTCCCCAGCGGCCTCCCCGGCGGCCTCCCCAGCGGCTTCCCCGGCCTTCTGTCCAGCTGCCCAGGACCCTCGCCCCCACTTCCCTCCAGTTCCCTTTCCCTCCTTCCGGGTCCCCACCCCACCTTCTCCCCTGAGCCCCGCCACCTCCTCCCTGGGCCAGACCCCAGCCTCCCTGTGCTACTTCCCCGTCTCCTGCCCCACCCAGGCGGAGACCCCTGTGCTGTGCCTGCCGGGCCCCAGAAAGCCCAGTAGAATTTACCTCATGTGGTGAGGCCCTAGCGTGGCGGAGTCAGGGAGAGGGGACTGCGGGCTTCCAGAAGGCAGGCGGACGGGAGGGGGCCCGAGGGCAGGACCACCAGCGGCACCGGGAGGTGTGGTGTGCGGGGAGCAGGAAGACCAGCCGCTGCCACTGACTCCACCGTCCTCTGGCGCTGAGGAGCGAGTGACCAATAAAATCCCGTCATCTCTCGAGAAGCCTCTGCTCTCTTCACTCCTGTGTCTGGCACACTTGGGGGCGTCACCGCCAGAAACGGGGCAGGCCCCTCTGTGTCTGATCACGCCCTGGGCCCCAAGAGGGTGGGCCCCCCGGGCAGGCCCCTCAGAAAGCTCTCGTGGGAACTGAAAACCTGCCCAGAGCACCCGGCAGGGCTCAGCCACTGCTTGCACTCCCTCCCCTGCCTGCTTATGAAGCACCCATTACCCAGGAGCAAGAATCCCACCTCCCGGGTTCCAAAATGCAGCACAATTATAGTACATAATTAGCTTTCATTAAGATCTCCTCTGGGCACGTGAGACAACACTCATTTCCCGCACACCCAGGTAGGCAAATAGACGCGGCCTATTCTTTGCGATGGCACAGAAAGCTGCTTGTCCCACCAAGGCCGCACGCTCTGTGATTCAGCTGCAATTCTGCCCAGGACTGAGGGGAGCCATGCACTGATTCAAAAAAAACTCTGGGGCCTCCCTGGGGTTAAGTTTCAGCTCTATCAAGCTATCACCAGCCACTGTGGCATGAGTTCGATCCCCAGCCAGGGAGCTGACCCACATGGCGCAGCAGACCTCTCCTGTCTCGCCCGCTGCTCCCCTCAGCAGTGTGTTTCAGTCGATCTGCCTGTTCTGCTCCCCACTCTGTCTCTGGTGAATCCTCTCGTCCCCCTCCCCCACCCCTGCACCCCAGTTCTTGTATGCATAAATAAATAAAAAACAAATCTTAAAAAAAAAACAAAAAGGCATCTGGTAGACAGACTCTTGGCACCTCCTAGGCACCCAAATCAGGCTAGTGTGGGGAAGGAGCAAAGGAGAGGATTGTGTTTGTCTTGTTGACTTTGTCTGTTCAAGACCACATCTGCATGTGGCACGTGAGTGCAGGAGCTGAACAATAACCAGGGCCAGGGTGTTAACACCACCAGTCAACGTACTTAGCTCACAGGGTCCTGTATAAAGATGAGTTTTCCACCTGTTTCCTGTCTGGTCAAGTTAAGAATTTTCCAGTCAACAATGACCCTGTCCCCGCTTTGTTAAGAGGACAGAAGCAGACACATCTGCTGCCTGCTTGCTTTGCTCTTGGAGGTGCCACCTGGCTCAGATTCTAGAAGAAGGTGCAGGTGTCGTGTCTTCGAAAGCAAACCCCAGACTTCCCAGAATCCACTAACGAACTTAAGGATGTTGCATTTTCTGGGGACAAAAGTCCCAAACACAATCGCCTCCCCTCTGTAGGGTGCAGCGTCTGTTCTACAGCTAAAGAATCTGCTACACTTCATCTCCCCACGCAAACACGACCTGGTCTTCCTGCAGATTATTCTATGTGCCTCAGTGAGATCACCTTAGAAAGACCCCAAGTCTGGCTCACCTTTGAGTGGGTGAGGCAATTAGGAGCTCGTATAGAAGTTGACTGAAACTGTTGAGCCCATGGATATACAAAGGATGACATACAGGTCACCTCAACCACTGTAATTGCAGCTGGAGAAGGAAGATTTCCCAAGAGTTTGCTTTCCATAGACTCTGAAGGACATCACAAGGAAGACGTCAGCTGTGCAGCCAAGTCAGATTACAATCTTTCATATTGTGACCAAAATGTCTTACTCATCTCTGTGAACCCTCAAATTATTGTATAATCAAGGCACACAGGTATTTGTTGAACAAATTACCAAAAAAAAAAGTTGCTATTTGCCTTTTGGATTTTATGAAAGGATGAGGGAGAGACAGCAAGAATGACATGGGAATAAACGCAGCTAAATGAGTTCATCTCAACCTATAAATCCCACACAACAATAAGTCTCTGGTCAAATTCAGGGCTCTCATGGGAGTGAATACAGATTTCCATTATTATTATTATTACTATTAGCATTATTAGCATTATTATCGCAATGCAGAATCACTAAATGTATTGCTCAGCTTTACAATAACTCAGCAGGAGAGGAATAGTCCCATTTTACAATTGCAAGTTCAAACCTCCAGTCAGAGGGCCTCCACCCCAGCTAATGCCTTAACATTTCACTTGCCCCACACTGGATTAGCACAGACATGGTCACGGGTATCACTTTGGAACTCATTTCAGAGACAGATGCTTTGAAGAAAGCACTTCTTAGAACAAGAAAACAAACGGATCTGTTATCGTAAGCCACCTTGGGTGTTTTGCACAATAGGAACTTGATTCTGCTTTTGGGTTAACCCATAGTTAGAGCCAAATGCATCCCCTTGAGCCCTGGGGATCGGCTAGTGGTCAGTATCAGGCAACACTCAGCATCTTCATCTTGAAGGAGTGAACAGCGGGCGGGTGATAAAGACCCACCCAAGTTTAGGCAAGTTTAGGATATTTAAGTGCTAAAGGTCATAGTAATCCCAAAAGCTCTGGCCAAAGCAGAGTCAGAGCAGACTTGAAGGATGTAAAACTGGCCTCAAAGGGCCTGCTGGCCAGTGCAGGCGGTGGGGGGGTGGGGGAGTGGGGGGGTTGGGGGTGTGCCGGGGAGAGAAGGCCTCTGGGAGGGAGGAGCAGCCTGAGGGTGCGAGGGGTGTGTATGAGGCTGGAGACCAGGGGCCGTGGAAGGCTGGGCAGCCTGGGTGTGAAGGTGGGGTTCCTGCTAGGAATCAAAGTGAGATCCAACGGACCAGACCTTTGGGTCACGTCCTGAACACGCACTGGACATGGCCTGAGCCCAAGCCAGCCCCCTCCCTTGAGCCTCTCTCTGTTTCTTCCTCGGTAATAACAAATAAGATTCCTGCTCCTTCCTCCTCTGTCTGTCAGGGGAGAGGCAGGTGTTGCCTTCTGAGAGTTGGGGTGGGGTGAGGCAGAAGCTGGGGGTTAGAGGAATGCAGCGCTCCAACGTGTCCTCTGGAAAGGCCCTGGTCCTCCTCTCACATTCTCCTCTCCCTCCTAACCCTCCACCCTCCAAATACTACATCCTCTTTTTCTGGAGAAGTCTCCTGTGCCTTTCTGGTCATGTCCACAGCCTCTCTGGGCTCCACAACTGGCCCTGAGCTGGAACATACCCACCAACAGGCCACCTCTTCCGGGAAGTTCCCCGGGGCCCACGAGCATCTCCTGGGGCCTGTCAGGATGGGTAGGACTCAATCACTGTGATAAACCGGCTTCTGGCCACCAAGGAGAGCTCACACCCCTTTCCAGAACCCAGGTGAGAGCTTTTCATGCAACTGTTGTACAACTTAGACTCTGCCACGTAAATCCAATTGTTCCCGGCGCCAGGAGAGGGGCCCTCTCACCCACCGCTCAGGGCCCCGACCCAGACGGAGGCCTGGTGGCCCACAGGCTACGGCTACTTGTGAAGTCCCTGAACTGTCTGGAAGGGATACACCCAGCAACTTGTCTCAAGGGTTTAGTCCAGAGAGTCTCAATTAAGGGCCGTGTGAACTTGAGGAGAGGCGTGGAAAATACCAAAGCACACCAGCACTAATGCTAAACACACGTGAAAAAGAACTGAGATGGTTCATCGCAACCTAATTCAACATGTGGACTCTACAAAATATTCACTAGGATCGCAAACCCCAAGAGCACCCCAGGTCCTGTCTCCTTGACCAGCGAACCTGTGGGTGGCACGTGAGCTGAAAAAGGGCGTGTGTTCCCAGAGGCTTGGGACCTTCCTGAAGGCCATGTTAGCTGCTAGCAAACCACCTGAGGACATGACTGTGCAGGTCCAGAGCAGGTGTGATGCTGACTTGGCTGAGCCCTTGGGGGGCCCGGTGTGTCCCACCGGTAGAAGGCTCTCAACAGTGTTACCAACAGCCCGTCCCAACGCTGGTGACTGACAGTGAGAACCCTCTTAGCAAAAGGAGCCCCAGGTGATGGCTGGTGTCCCAGGTGCTCTTGTGTGGTGATAACAGCCTTGGGAATAGCTCTTGTGACTTCTATGTAACAGATGGGGAAACTGAGGCTTTGAGAGGTGAAGCAATTTGCCCAAGCTCACATGCCACAAGATGGTGAAACCAGGTGGCAAACCCAGCTCATCTCCAACCTCTCCCAGCCCTGGGGCCATTGTCTGAGCTCCCGGCCCCATGGCTGGACCCTGTGAGTGCTCTTTATACAAGAACCTCTTTATAGAAGAGGTTTTCCTATAAAAGCTTAATTATTGAAAAGATTTTACACCTTCCAGCAACCCAGGCGCCACAGATATTATCAAAAAAGAGGAGGCCAAACCTGGGGAGACTGACAGTCAGCCCAGAAATGCAGAGCCTGAGAGCATCTGGGGAGCGAGGCAGGCAGAAGCTGCAGCAGCCAGCGAAAGCGCCAGCCCTCAGGAGAGCAGGTAAGGACCCCCTGATCGCGCATCTTGGCCCTCAGAGAGGAGACCTGACTGGTGCTGTGGCCTAATGAATTCTATGTGGTTTTTGGACACGTGTGCTTTTATTTGAAGCAGCGTATACCTTAAAACGAAATGCTTAAATGGTTTTCAAAGCAAACTATTGCATCTTATTTCCTTCTCCCAGAGAGGCTGGTGGGAACAGGCAGACTTGGAGGATAGAAAACTGGCCTTGAAGCCAAGGGGCACTTTTAAAAAAATTTTTTTCTGCCATGGCTCCTGAGTGTGACTGTGCATGGTTTTTGAGCGGACGCAGGCCATCCAGTTACTGGAGGGGGCCTGTGGGTGGTGGGTGGCGGGTGGTGGTGCCGGGTGGGGTCAGATGGGGTGGAGCAGCAGCCAGCAGCTCTGGCAGGTCTCACCTGGCACAGCGCACCCTGCCCCACCTCCCAGGCGGGATGATGGGCGTCTGTGAATAGCAGACAGCTCACCTCCCACGGACACCTTCTCCCCTGTGGCCCAAGGTCAAGATCTTAATGTGCAAGAAATCACATCAAAGAGAACATACGCTTGATTTCAAAACACGTGGAAGGCCACATCCTCTCACGGTCCTGAGCGTTCACCCCAAGCAAAGCCAAGCCGCTCTGCTGGCCGTCTTACCCTCTCCCACAGCAGCAGGGACAGAGGCGCCCCTGCGAGACTCAAGGGCAGGGCCAACCTTGCCCCCAGCCTGTCCTCCCCTCTGGGAAGCCCCTGAGCATCACACTCGTAACACCCAATAACACAAGAGCCTTTATTTTCACAGATGCTGTGCACAGTTGGATAGGGGACATGGCATTGTTTGGGTGGCTTGGAATTCGGGGTGATTAGAGCAGATGTGAGTCTGTAGCAACGAGACACCCCCAGTCTCCCCCCCCCCCGCCCCCTGCCGCCATGACGGAAGGCCTCCGGTCAGGAAGGACAGACCTCACTTCGAATTCTAGTCCTCTTGCTCCCAGTGATAGACCCTTGGGTGGTTCAGACACCATTCATTGTCTTAAAGCAAGGATAATGAAATTTACCTCAATACATTGCTATAGTAACGAATGAAGTAACATTCTGAGCAGCACCTGGCTTGTGTAGACAACACACTACTGGTAGTTTCTCTCCTGCCACCTCCCAACTAACTCCCAAATATTTGAAAGGTGAGGTTCCCCACACATTAAACATTTCTGAACCCATGAGGCTCATACCATCCTCCATCTATACTCAGAAGATGTCTTGCATTATCCTGAGATCTGCTAAGAATTTGACCTAATTTTCTACTATAGCCAAGGCTCCCCAGTTATCTCCTCACTAGACTCTCCTTAGTTCTTTCTCTCATATCCTAAAGCGGATTGCATAAACTGGAATAGGAGCCAGACATTTGAATTGTTTCAGGAGAGATCTGAAGCAAATATGACAGAGAGGTAATATGTAAAAAGCACTTACAAATCAATAAGAACATGAATACCTTACAGAACCAAGGGGAAGAGGCATGACAATGTAACAGAAGCCAAAATGCAGACAGCTAATGGAACTTAAAAAGAAAATTTAACCTCACCAAGTAAAAAATGTAAATTTGCATGAGATAAATTTGGTCTACCAAGTTGACTAAAGCTTTTATAGTAACACTCAACACTGATAGGGAAACTTACAGTTAACCTTTCCTGGGCAATGTTGGGGCAGCTCTTAACACCCAAGCCCTTGGCCTCACTACTGGTAACACAATTATGGGAGTCACCAGAATTTGGCAGTGTCAAAAATCTTTAGAAAATTCACACCTTTTGACCCAGCAATTTCATACCAGCAAATCTAGCCAACTAGGTGCAACTGATTATTCCAGGTGAGATGAGCTAAAACAGAAAAAGCCTCCATCTGCCTGAGACCACTACTTAAAAGATACCTTATCCAGCAAGAATGCTTATCACCTGTGACGTATGTCAATAAATCCCCTGAAACAATTGATGTACCCAACAATAAAGAATTAAATGATGCATTATATGCTGAACACTTACACTATGGGATTTGTTTTTAAAGAACAATTAATGGCCAGAGATAATGCTTACCAAAAAGCAGGACATAAAGTTATATATGCCCAGATATCCCAACTTTGTTTTACAAAAATTACATGTATTTCTAGATAAAAGAGCCCTGGGTTGTACATTCAAATGCCTTCAGGGTACAAAAGGGGAAGGAAGTTGGCCAGAGAAGTACAGAGTCAGGGCTGTGGCTTGGGAGCGAGGGGTGAACCAAAGGGCTCCACCTGAAGGCCTTACCCAGAATTCAAATGCTCCCTTAGCACCTCCATAGGAGGAAAACAGCCTGAGGTCTTGCGTTAGTAACCCACCCTGCATTCCAGAGCAGCAGCTATGGCCACCTGAATTTGGAAGATGGATGATTTTTATGTCTTCATCCTTTTCATGATTTCTGCAAGGAACTTTGACCACACTAGAACCAGAGAAAAACCATGGAAAGCAGATGACTGTGGGGATGCAGGACCCATTGGTCAAGCACCTGCAGAGGCCTAGACCAAGGGCTGGTCTTAGGCAGATGGAGGCTTTGTCTGAGTTTAGCTCACAGGCCCTAGAACATTCAGTTGCTCCGGGTTGAACTCTCAAATCGGCAGGCCCGCCGCCCACAGCTGGAGCCACGCCGGCCTGGGAGAGGCCTTCACAGCCCGCTGGGGCCTGTGCTATGAATAGCGCGTCCAGGGCATAGCAAACTGGGTGTTTATTCCCAGCCCCAGAGCTACTGAAATCTGCTCCCTATCTGATAGACACAAGAAATAGGATTAAAATAGCATAAATATAGCATGGCACCGTCTGCCACCTTTGGGGAAAACACACACACTCACGCACAAGGAAGTGCTGATTGGATTTTTATAGAGGAAGGGGGGCCGAGGTAGGGTGGGGCTGTACCCCGAGGTGCTCCAGGGCCCCGCAGCAGCTCAGCAGGGCACATGGCCAGCGCTGTGGGCTGCCTGGAGGCCAGTGTCACCGGTGACAGCTCAGTGGCTTCTGTGAATCAGCTTATGGCTCTTGTTGAGGTTCCAAGTTCAGAAACCACCCTGGCCAAGTCTCTACCTGGCAGGTACCTCCCAAAGCCATGCTGAGCCAGCTCCCGGCTGACGGCTGCCCCACACCTGGCACACTGTGTCTGCCGAAGGCTCCATTTCCTGCGCTCCAGAGCTTATCTCTGAGCCCCTTCATCAACTCCCCAGTGGAAAGCCATCCGCTGGAGCCCACACTTCCCAATTTTTTTCTCAAAATAAAAATACTCAGGAGAATTCCGTTGTTTGGGCAGAGCCTCTGTTCCTGTCGGGTGGTCAGCCCGGCCGGGGAGGGCGCACCGGCCCACTCGCTACAGCCACAGCCTGAGTTCGGAGCATCCTGGACTTGCTGGCAATAGGGCTCTTCCTGGGGGTTCTAAAGCCCACATGGGGTCTGAGGAGGGAGCCTCGCTGGCGTCTAAAAGAGAGCGCGAGTCGGGATTCACACCATGTCACCAACTGTCCTTGCAGTCGAGAGAGAGGCTTCCTGAGTGCCAGGACCTTAGAGACTCACAGTGACACTCCCTGGGAGGCGCCCCATTAAAGTAAGTGGGAGCCTGACGAGCTGAGGACTTGCTGGTCACCTGCTGTATCACACGGGCCTTCCCGAACCGGTGGCGTCCTGTCCACTCTCCGGAGTGAGCCACTTAGAAGCAGAAGGACAGCAGATGCTGCAGGGTCCCCAGAGACAGGTAGAGGGGGAAGGGCCAGTATCAGGGGACATAAAGATAAATAGGATTAGAGACGTTCTTGCAGTGTCCTGTCCACGTGAGAGGGTGGGGAAAAAAATTTCGAGTAACTGCATGACACTGAATTAAATGGATTTTCATTTTCACCAGGAAGTTGGAAGCTCAGCAGGTTTCTTAAGGGGTAGCACGGGGTGGGGGCTAGAACACAAACCATCATAGGATCTTGGGTGACCTCCCTGAGCCGGGGACCCTCAATTATCAAGTGTGTGATTGAGGTACCTGTTCCACTGGGCCATGAGGCCCAAGTGTGAGTGTGTGACACAGACATTACAAGCCCCAATGATTTGTTATTTTTATAAGGCAAGTCTTGACCCAATGATTTCACCAAATAGAAATCCCTGCTCCCTGGAGCACCCTGCCCCTCTCCTCTCTCTACCTCTGCACACACTTTAGATTCAGGAGGCATGGAGGGAAGGTTCTATCAGAGCCAGAGGCTTCACACTGCCTAGCGATCGTGATTTCAGGAGCAATATATAAGTTTTATTTGTTCGAAGTAATCTATGTAACTGCAATCATTGGTGTAATTGAGCAAGAGCTTCTAGAACCTTCCCCCAAGCTGCCAAGGTCAACTGTGCTTTCATAAGCGTTGAGGGAAGCAGGAGTTTGTGGGCGTGTGCTGCATGACGTTGGTGAGAAAGCGCTGGAGGCGGCTGTGGAAGCCACTCCTGAGGGCTGGTTTTGCTCATCAATAAACACCGGATGAGACCCACCCTCTGAGAGGCACCGTCATCAGCCCTGACCGACTGACCGCGACATGGGGCTGGACAGGCTTCTCAAAGCTCTTGCAGAGAATCTGTGTCCTCACCCTGCTTCCCCCAAACCAACGTGAGATCCATAAGTGCACGGAGGGGGAGTCAGAAGCCACAAAATGAAGCCAACTCTAGCGCGCCCTCGTACCCCATGACCCCGGGCTCTCAGGGGCTTGTAGATTGCCTTCAGGGACTTCTCACTCTTGGGGTTAGATGTTTTTCACCCATGAGCACCTTATTTTTTTTTCTGATTTTTTTTTTTACATCTTTTTCATTTTTGTGCAATGTATGAATTTTTATCTCGGTTATAGTCCCCATGAAATTCCCACCACCCATTCACCCGTGACCATTCACCATGGGCCCTTGTGCTTGTCCCACCCTTGTTTTGATCCTACTCCCTTCTCTCCCCCTGCAGAATGTCTCTGGTTTCTAGTTGCCTGTTGATTTTGATTTTTACTTTATTACAATTAGGGTTTTTTTTTTTTAATTGATTCCTTGTTTGGATCCTCTACATTCCTGCTATAAGTGAGACCATGCAGTATCTTTCTTTTTCTTTCTGGCTTATTTCACTGAGCGTGATCCCTTCCAGCATGAGCACCTTTCATCCAGGTGTGTCTTTTCTCCACGCAGATCCAATAGCCCAACAAGAAAGCCCGACATGGACAAGTGACACTAAGCCAAAGAGGACGACCCGAGAGAGAAGAAACTTGGTCCCGTCATCCCAGAAAACCATGGTGCCTGACAGTACCCCCGAGAGGGCCCGAAAAGTAGACCCCAGTGCGCTCTCCCCCAGCGAGGCCCCTCCAGCCCTATCCCAGGTCTTCCTGGGAGCAAATTCCCCTCACTCGTCATCAAGCGAGTCCTTGGGGCCACCGCTCATGGCTGCCGTGGGGGGGCCTCGGAGGGCACCATTTAGGTTCAGAGATGAAGACTTCTATTCCATTTTATCTCTCAATGCTGGGGGAGAAGACAACGACACTGACGAGGAAACCCAGGTGGAGGAGGAGCTGCTGCTGGTTGGCATGCACGCCCTCCACTCTCCTTCCAGTCACAAGAGAAGTCGAGTTCTTGGGGCTCCCGCCACTCTGGGCAAAAACAAAAATTTCGAAGGACATCCTAAAAACTGCAGGGCTCACGACGTGAGAAGTGAGTCTAGTCACAGCTCACTGAGAACAAGCCAGGCCCCAGAGCCTGTGCCTGAGCAGCTTCCTCTCGGGCCAAGGATGGCCCCAGAGCCCGCGCTGTCCTGTGGGGTCGCTGCTAAAGAGAACAGCAGTGATGACAGTGAAGATGAGGGAAAGGCCTTTGACTCGTGGGACACCAAGGCCAAGCCCAGACTGGATGAGCCCAGTGCTGAAGGTGTGCCCGGTGACTGTTCTCCTCTGGGAAGCAGGCCCAGCCCCCACAATTACCAAAGAGACTGGCAAGCCTATTTAAACAGCTCTAGTAGTTCCCTGGACTATTTTCTTTCGGGTAGACTGATACCACCAAGACCACCCATGAGCTCCCCCTACAACACTCCTGGGTCATTAATACCTGCTGGTCTGAGCAACAATTTCCCAGTGGACCTGCTGGCACCACCTACTTCCACTCACAGTTCAGACGCAGAAGGGAACTCAAGATTTAGTGTGCGTCGGCCACTGTCCCCCATTAGAAATAGGAACCCACTGGCCAGGACTGACCACCACAGTCATCTTCCAGTAGACAACGTGCCTGAATTTGATGGCAGGGGAGCAGAAGATACGACTTTGAGAAACCAGTCTCAGGGGGCACCGTTATACACCGAAAGTCTCTTAGTAAATCCTCAAAGCAGCTCATCCCTGGTGGAATCTTCCAGTTCCTCTCCACCCGAGAGGATGGAGAACTTACAGGACCACCTGCATGTGTCGGGGTCCCTGCAGGAAAATATACGTTTGACCTTCTTTACAGTGTCCAATTTCCCAAGTCACAGTGACGGTGGGAGCAGAATGGCAGTGTCTGGATCCACAGATAAGGAAGCCACAAAAATTAAAGCTGACCCTGAGAAACTCAAGAGATTGCAAGAAAGGTGAGGACATCTCATAATGAGATATGTACACTTTTTAAAAAAAACAAACTCCATCCTAGTGCTAAAATAACCAACACTTTGATTAGAAGATGGAGGGGTGTTTAAACCAGAGGAAGGCCTTCCTTGACATTTTAATGATTGCTTTTATCAAGAATATGATCTAATTGCTCTTAAAATACATGTATATAAGGAAAGGTTGGGAGTTGCATTTCTTCGGTATTCCCAAAGTGTTCCTTGAATACCGTAACTTGCATGTAAGTGTATCTGGCTGTCCCTAGGGAATAGCACTTCTCACCAGTGAGATTTTTGCACGAGAGAGGTTGCTATCTCCCCAGAGAATGGGCCGCTCAGCATTTGAAGTTCACCAGCTTTCCATAGGGGGATTTTGTGTGAATCCAAACTACAGCTCTAGAATCTGAATCTTCCAAACCAAAAGGCTGTTCCCAAACAGTTACCATAGTTATCTGGGTTCCCCAACGGGCCTCTGGGGTAACCACAAGAGCATTTTGTGTGCTCTTTCAAATGCAGGGGAGAGAGAGAAATTTGATCTTTTTTAAATGGTCCTTTTCTTTGATCCTTCCCTTCTTGGGAGGCCATCTTGGGGTATTTCACAACTCCGACATCGGATACTTTTTAAAGCCATCGTTAAACTCCACCTCGGGATTCTACCGTCTGATTTATGATGGGTGTTTACCGGGCCCTGAGCTTGCCTTTCTTTTTTTTTTTTTTAAATAATAAATTTTATTTTTATATTCCCCATACAATTGCAAACGCCCCATTCTGACCCCAATCCTTCCCCTCCCACCCCCCACCCCCCAAAAAGTGTCTCTGGTTCATAGTTTTTTGTTGATTTTGATTTTCACTTTCTTATATTCATTTTCCTGGTCCCTTATTTAAGTTTTCTAGATTCCTGCTATGAGTGAGACCATCCGGTATTTTTCTTTTTCTTTTTGGCTTATTTCACTGAGCATGATCCCTTCCAGCGCCATCCATGTTGCTGCAAATTGCATGTGTTTATATTTGTTGAATGCTGAGTAATATTCCATGGTGTATATGTACCACATCTTCTTGATCCAGTCATCTATTTTTGGGCATCTGGGCTGTTTCCAAAGCTTAGCTATTGTAAATAGTGCTGCTATAAACATAGGGGTGCAGGTGCTCTTTGGAATTGATGTTTCTATGTCCTTTGGGTAAATACCTAGGAGTGGAATTGCTGGATCATATGGAAGCTCTATGTTTAGTAGGTCCAGAAATCTCCACACAGCTGAGCTTGCCTTTCTGACCTGGAAGCTGATTCTCTGAATGCGAGCTCTCTGTGTATTTAGTGTGGCTCATTTGGGCTATTCATTAGCCTGTTGATATTCCTTTCTAAGGAGGAAAATTTCTTGGCAATGATTTAGAAATGCAGAAGAGGAACACAGATGTGCCCACACTCCTCTATGCTTTCACTCAGTTGCGGGAATGAAATATCCTTATAGTATAGTTAGCAGCGGGTTTTCGTTCTCACTTTAAACAAATCACCAAAAGACTGGCGCATGAATCGGGATCAAAGGGCTTCGCACACACCAGTCCTCCCCAACCCAAAAAAACAGCTTCAGACCCACTTGCCAGGAGTCTGGAGTTCCCCCAACCCAAAGTGATGCCCCAAATAATTCCTTCAAGAAATGCATCCACTGCATTCAGCAGCTATTATTTCCGTACTTTGCTTATCAAGCACTCTTTTTTTTTTTTTCTGTATGTACTAAAAGTATGCTCTTCTTATTTCAAAAAATACTCATTTTAGGAACCATTAAAAATATAAACTTAGGGGCCTCCCTGGAGGCACAAGGGTTAGGATGCAACCTATGAAGCTATTCGCAGCCACTGCAGAACGAGTTTGATTCCCGGCCAGCCAAGGAGCTACCCACATGGCGCAGCAGACCTCTCCTGTCTTGCCTGCTGCTCCCCTCAGCAGTATATTTCAGTCAATCCTGTTCTGCTCCCCACTCTGTCTCTGGTGAATCCTCTCACCCCCCACACACACCTCTGGCCTATACCCCAACTCTTATATGCATAAATAAACAAATCTTTTAAAAATATATATATAAACTTAAAAATTACCTGTAACTATAATCTAGAGAGAAGCACTGTTTACAGCTTTCCACTTTCCATTTGCATACAGATGCAATTTTTTAAGCTTTGGCTCACATATTATAATATGGCTTCTATTGATATTTCAAGCCCATTTCTCAGCACCACGTACAATCTTAAATTTGGCCCTCTGTCTATAATACACACAAGTAAGTACATAACACACATATAGCCTAGGGAATGAGACATTTCTGTGTCCACCTTCCAGCCGAGAGCATCGCTAGAACCCCAGTGGGTTCATTGCCCCCATCCCCAAAACTCCCTTGGCCCCCAGGAGACCATTCCTGCCTTGCATTTATCATTCCTTTGCCTTCTGTTTTGTTGTTGTTGGAGAATTCTTCCTTGTGGTTTTACCATTTGTGTGTGTGTATGTGTGTGTGTGTGTGTGTCCCAAGCAATAGACTAGGGATACTTTCAGTTCCACAGAAATATGACTATTACTTCTGAGCTCTGTAGAAATACAATCTGTTCTTTGACGACTTGCTTTTCCCCTGACAGCATTCGTGAGCTGCATCCTTGTTGGTATTTTTGGCTTTAATTCACTCGCTCGCAGCCGAACAAAGTATCCCATCACAGAAATCAGCCACAGCTTAGCCCTTCTCCCATCTTCTTTGCTGTTTTCTGCAAGCAGCACCACATGAACATTCTCATAAGTGTCTCCAGGTGCACTTGAGCTGCATTTTATGAGACACTGACCCAGTAGTTCTGGGATGGCAGGGAGCACCCTCCCACCATGCTAAAGAAAGCCAATCCATGGTCTGAGCAGTGGTGTGTACCATTGTCCATCTCCGCCAGCACTTGTACGCTTTGGGTCTTCCCAGTGTTTTCCAGTCTGATGGGAGTAAAAGGATGTCGTGGCTTTAATTTACATTTTCTTTTTTTTTCCAAAGATTTATTTATTTATGCATACAAGAGCTGGGGTACAGGCCAAAGGTGCAGGGGGTGAGAGGATTCACCAGAGACAGAGTGGGAAGCAGAAGAGGCGGATCGACTAAAATACACTGCTGAGGGGAAGCAGCGGGAGAGTCAGGAGAGGTCTGCTGCGCCAGGTGGGTAGCTCCCTGGCCAGCTGGTATCAAACCCATGCTGCAGAGGCTGCAGAGAGCTTCACAGTGCTGCGTTTAACCCCTTGCGCCACCAGGGAGGCCCTAATTGACATTTTCATGACTACTACTGACGTCAGGTGTTTTATGTCCTTTTTGAATGTTCAATGGCCATTTGTGTTTCCTCTTCAGTAAAATACTTTTGCCCATTTTTCTTTTAGAATCCTCTTCTCTGAAGAACTCTATGTTCTGACTACTCATCTACTCCTTTGACAGTCACGTGTTCGAAATAGCTTTTCCCAATTTGCAGTTTGTCTCTTGATGTCTTTTAACGAAAACACACTCTTCTTTGACATAGTTGAATGTACCCATCTTTTTTACAGATGGTGCGATTTGTATCTTGCGATCTTGATGAAGACAATAGTCTTCCTATTTTCTTCTCAACTCTCTACTGTTGTATTTATTGGAATTGCATTGAATGTATAGATTACTCCGAGGACAATTGATTTGGTGGGAAATAGTGAGTCTTTCTGTGATAAACATGGCACTATCTCTCGTTTGTGTGCCTCATAGAAAACTATAAATCTGTTCCTTTTCACTGACCCCCCCTTTCTTGGGGAAGGAGGTCTCCAAGAAAGTGACTATTATACTTCTATGCCCCAAGCATCACCCTTCTCTTCCTAGTCTTTGCTTTTTTTGTCCCTCACTATAGTTTCCCTTCCTTGACCGGACAGCCCCCAGCCACATGAAGACTCTCAAGAACTCTCAACAAAAAAAATAATCTACACATCTTAAAATTCTCCATACAGGAACACCAACCACTTCCCCACCCACCACCTATGACACACAACTGCATCCACTGACATTTTCATTCCTCGTGCGTGCGTCACACGCCGGGAGCTGCACTCGGGCATCTTGGTACACTTGGTTGGCAAGTGTGGAGTCCTGGGGAGCTATGCCCAGATGCCCTGGCTGGTTATCTGTCTCACCCAACATCTACTGAGGCATGTCCACGTGCACATACATGCCGGACACGGGATGCACTGAAGACCCGGCAGGACTGGCTCACTACCGTCCTCGCTGCCCGTCTGCCCACGTGGAGCCGGCTGGCAGCAGATTAGCACATGGCTTCCCAGACGGGGAAACACACCAGGGAGCTTGAGTAACTTGTCCAAAGTCATTTAACTCACAAGTTTAGAGGCAAGTCTCAAATCCAGGCCCCCGACCACAGATCCCCAAACACCCACCCCCACGCTATGGCCACAGCGGGGGCGGGGCTCCCCATCTGTGTCCCACACCTCTTGCTTTATGGGACCAGTGTCTTCTCCTGGCCAGCTTGCGTCACTAACTCCAGTGGAGCCTGAGGAGGGGTCCTCACCCCACCACCTGTACCCGCACCTGGGAGGGCTTTTCTGAAGGGTCAGAGGGAACAGTGAGGTGCCCCGGAGGGAGGGGCGTGGGGTAGGGGGCTGCTCCTTCCCCCGCCAGCCCCTTGGGAACTGATATGTGCGGACACTGCGGACGTGCAGACTCTGGTCACGAGCGCTTGTTTTCTGTTTAGTCTCCTGGAGGAGGACTCCGAGGAGGAGGGAGACTCGTGTCGCATCTGTCAGATAGCTGGGGGTTCCCCCACCAACCCCCTCCTGGAGCCGTGTGGCTGTGTGGGAAGCCTGCAGTTTGTTCATCAAGAATGCCTGAAAAAGTGGCTGAAAGTGAAAATAACCTCAGGTAGGTGGGAAGAAGAGCAGCAAATGCCACGGCATCTAATTAACAGGCGGCGCCACCGCCCGGACTCGGCCTTGGCCTTGACAGCCGCTGGCTCTTGTAGGAGCAGTAGCTGGAGAACCATGGCCCCCGGCCCCATGGCCCCCAGCCCTGCACCCTGGCTCCCAGCCCCGACAGACAGCAGTGGGGCTAAATGCTGTCTTCAAACCAGGGGAGGGGCAAGAATTATTTTGCAGTCTGAGTGCAGAATCTGGAACCCGACACTGCTGAATTCTACCCCTACATGGGGGCTGAGCAGAGAGGCTAAGATACCTCCCCAGGAGGAAGGAAACTAGAAGTGGGTCCACGGTTGAACCCCACAGCACTCAACAGCCATGCGAGAAGGAGACACCCAGCCCAACAGTCCTGCTTCCTTGCCCTGGTGGGGAGATCCGAGGTGGGGGTGGGGAGACATCGCCCGAAAAAGGGAGCAAAGCTGCCATTTGCAGTGGAGGTCGGGAAAGAGCACTGATCTGATTTTCTAGAACCATATTAGGCAAGAGAGTCCCACGTGCTGGTTTTGTCAGCTCTGTCTTTTACAGACCTTGTTAACTGGGCCTGAAGCAACTTTCTCACCCCCCTGGGGAGGTTATAACCTAAGACATCAGTAAGTCAGCCGTGGTTTCCGCAGCAGAGAACAAGAGGTGTCTTCCAGACATGGTTTTAGGAGTGAGAACTACTTGAACAAGCAAAAACCATGGAACCTCAGTGCAAAGAACAACTCCTTGAGAAAACAGCTGTCTCTCAGACAGGCCTCTCCCGAAGGTTCTCCCCCAGAGTCACATCCTCCTCCTCCCTGTTCTCCTCGGCCATTATTCCAGGAAGCCTGCAAAACCTGTCCCGGGGGCATGGCCGCAAGCCCTGGCCAGGCACTCCGTCTCATGCCAGCCTGAGCCCGGGGACCATCAGTCACCCACCCCCACCCCGTCCCTGCTCCACGTTTGCATGTTCCCGAGCACAAGAACGAAGGACCCCTGCCCGAGCCACCCAGACGCGTCCACATCGTCAGCAGGGTTCTCAGCCCTCGGAGGGCGAGGGAGTGGACTCCCACTGCTACTGGCCCTGCCAGGCAGTGCTTTGGCTGTGGGATGAAAGTGCAGCTGAGGGTGGGCAGATGCCACTGCTCGTGGGGGTATTTTGGGCAGGATGAGGCTGAGGACACAGGAGCGCAGCATAGCCCAAAGCATTAAAGAGTGAAGCTAAAAGAAAAATCAAGCAAGAAAACGCAGATAAGGGGGTACCTGGTCCTCCTTGTCCTCTGCAATTCTCTTTTGTTCACTCTCTAGATCCCCACTGGGGAAAAGTAGAATTGGGGCATAAAACAGTACACAGCTCATCTCTCCTAATAAATGCAGGTAACTGACTAGTCCTCTATGTTGTCCTGCTTAAGATAAACACCAGCACATCATTAGTCAAAATGCAGCCCCCCTCACTGGGGAAAATAATGCTGGGCAGAACGTTTGTGGCCTGAGTTCAGTCCCCAGCCAGGGAGGTGACCCACATGGCACAGCAGACCTCTCCTGTCTCACCTGCTGCTCCCCTCAGCAGTGTGTTTTGGTGGATCCACCTGTTCTGTTCCCCACTCTGTCTCTGGTGAATCCTCTCATCCCCCTGCACCTCTGGCCTGCACCCCAGTTCTCGTATGCATAAATGAATACCGTATATATATAAAATAACCACCAAACAGCAGCAAAGCAAATCTCCTCATGTTTCTTTTCCCAGAGGAGTCTGGGCTCAGTGCAGGTGCTGGCCCAGGGACGCTGCGCTAGGACCCACACATGGCCTGGGCCTCACTCTCCTGCATGGCAGCCAGGGCATAAGCCATAGACTGAGGCTTCTGCTATCATCTGGTCTTGACTTGTCTGCATGAACCTGCCCTAGGTTGGCCAGAAAACACAGCACAAGCCCAGCAGCCACTCCTGCAAACACCTGCATGACAGCCCCTCAGCCCCTCGGCCTCCACCTAGCAATTCCCATTTATGAGCCAGTATGTTTATATTTAAACAGAAAGCGAGACCTGAAGGCCATGGGACTTTCGCTGACATGAAGCTTGCATAATAATGTCTGTGATTACAAAGGAAATTTTTCAGATCTAGATTCAAGGTCATTTTCCACAGAAGTGATTGCAGAAAGGGCTGCAGGCCGCCAAAACTCAGAATTCCTAATGCACACACGTCCCCTTGCAAAATGTCAACATTAAAACACCCCAAGTGTCGGCACAGAGAGGCCCTGAGCTGTGGTGCCAAAAGAGCTCTGTGTCTGATTTCAGGAGCTGATCTGGGGGCCATAAAGACCTGCGAGATGTGCAAGCAAGGGCTGCTGGTGGACCTGGACGACTTTAACGTGACGGAGCTTTACCACAAGCACCAGCAGTCCCGGGTAAGAGCCCTCACAGGCCACCCCCACACTCCACCCACCCAGCCCCAGGGCTGAAGTCAGTGAGGGGAGCCAGGCCAGAAAGGAAGGCAGGAGGGTGGGGGTGGCGGCCTGGGAGCGCCCATTCAGCTCCCTTCTCTGAGAACGGGCTGTTACTAAGTCAGAACATTGTCACAGGACTGGAAAGGCCAGGTCTCTGGGCTGAGACTCCCCCCAAGCCGTCAGGGACAAAAGCAGGAAACTGCAGAAGCCAACTGGACACGCAGCCACAGCCAAGTCTGGCAAGCTCCACACCCTGATTTACTGATGTCGTTCAAGTTTGCCAGCCACGAGAGAGAAAAATCAGGGTCTTGGAGCAAATGGTCCCCAATTTTGCTCCAAATAGTCCGTTCACGTGGCTACCAGGAATGTTCAAACTACACGCGTGGCCTGCCGGCATCGCGGACGCTGTGGGGCCCGGGGCCTGTCCCAGGAAACCCCTTCTGGCCCGAGCATGTCCAGTTGTACTGAAGTGTCTGCCCTGGAGAGCAGGGGGGGCGCGGGGACAGACAGGTGGCCTCCCCCACGCGACGAGCTCTTCCCAGGTGGAAACGGAGCAACTTGGGAAAGAAAGGGTAAGAACAGGGTGCCCTGCACCTCTCTGGGGTCTGTTCTGTTGCGGGGGCTGCCTGGAACCTTGGCCTCCTGGAACCCCCCACCACCTCCGCTCACGCAGCTCTGTTCCCCAGCACAGGGCAGCATGCAGGCGAGGGCCCCCCACCCAGGTCCTCTGCTCCCCTCAGAAAGTGAGGCCTAGCTGGGAGAAGAACTTACTGGACAAAATTCTGATTATAAATGTCCTTTTCCTGAAACTCCACCAAACAGATACTAAAGGAATAACACTAGTAAATGCTTGTGCTCCTGTGGCGGCCCACTCCAAGCAGTCTTCCTGCTTTGACTAAGATGTAAACCTCATCCTAGACCCATCCCCACCCCGCTGCCAGTGACCTTGACCTTGGGGAAAGGTCATAAACTCTCTGGACCTCAGCTCTCTCACCGGAAGCCGGGGAAGAGCATTCCCACCTGCAGGGCTGGGTGTAGGGAAGCCCCCGCGCCTCATCTACAGTGGCGCATGTGCAGAGAGTCCCAGTCAATGAGGACCCCACGTTCCGGCCACAGAGAAGCCCCACCATCGCAGTCCAGGGAGAAGCTCCCGCCAGCACCTCCCACCGGCCAGCCCCAGTGGGGAGCCAGGGGACCAGGGGCCGAGTTAACGAATGCACTGAGATCAGCCTCAAGGCCACAGAGCAGGGCGGCAAGTGGATCTGGAGGGGGACATGGAAAATATCCTGCCCCATAATTTACTCTATGTGGAAGCAGAAAGACGTTTAAATTGGTTTCAGTGAGAACTTGACAGGCCACCGAAGCCTTTGAAAATGCCCTTCATTATAATCACAGGTAGAAACTGGATTGACAGACCCACCCTGGTGGGAAAACCACGGTCCCGAGAAGCCACACACAACAGTCATCTGCCGGTGGAAAGCGGTCGAGGGCTCGCGCTTGTTCCGACAGCCCGTTGGGAATTTAACAGGGTCTGTTTGCTTACAGTCTGAGTTACACTTGAGCCACCAGGGAAGCCTGACTTAGTCAAGTTCAGAAACTCTCCACGGATAGAGACTGAAGGGGCTGCTGTTTAACACAAATAAGATCAAGATGGAGTTTTACAACCTCAGCTGGTCCCCACTGGGGAGGCCCCTGGCCTGGCCACAGAGTTGACGCGTGTCCACTTCTGGGGTTCCGGGCCCCTCCCCTGACTCCCAAACCTTGGCTCATCTGGACCCATGACCCAACCAACTTTCAGGCTGTACACTCCTTGGCAAACAGGCTCTCCTCCCCAGAAGTGGGATCTCTGGTGCCAGATAAAGACGCAGGCAAAAAAGGGGCAAAGAAGCAGCCTAGTCTGGCTCTCCCTTGACCTCCGGCAACACTCTCACTGATTTCTCACCCATTTTTCTCATTTAATTTTTATTTTATCTTTAATCATGAAAATCACAAACATAATTAAAATCAACATTGAGTGGTGTGTCTTTTTTTCTTCCTATTAAAATGCCAATGCCCACCCCCAGTGATTCTGATTTAATTGGTCTGGGATGAGACCAAGTGCCAATATTTTTTTAAGTGTAGCAACATGCACACAAGAGGTTAACTTGAAAAGCACTTACAGGATGCCTACCATCCATCAGAGGCCATGCATACACTGCCAGCGGCCCGGGGTCCAGAAGAGAGCAAAAAGTGTGGTGTTGGAAGATCTAAATAAGGGTGGGTGGGCTGCTGCTGGAACAGCCACCGAAGGGGCTGACCTGCTCTCAGGACCAGAGAGCCCACTGAGATGAGGGAGGAGATGGAGGTGGGAGGCCTCCATCCATGTGCCCTGGGGGGTAAAGCCCGAGACATCTGCAACAGATGTCTCACTGGCGATATGACCACCCACTGGGGCCATGCCCTTAGGTGCCCCGTCAGCACTGTCGGCGGTCTTCAAGGGTGCAGAGAGGCTTATATCAGACTATGTTTGTTAAGTAGACAATTCCAAATCATGGTATTGGACAGATGGCTTTTTTTTTTTTTTTAAAGATTTATTTATTTATTTATTTATACAAGCACTGGGTATAGTCAGAAGCACGGGAGGGTGAGAGAATTCACCAGAGCGGGGAGCAGAGCAGGCAGAGTGACGAAGTACACTGCTGAGGGGAGTAGCGGGCGGCAGGAGAGGTCTGTGTGCCATGTGGGACCCTCCTCTGGTGGCCGGGGAGCAGCCGGGGATCGAACCATTGTTGCAGAGGCTGCGGGCAGCTTCGCAACCCAGTGCTCAACTGCTGCGCAGATGGCTATTTTTGATATATGTTTTGATACCTTATTATTTTCTCTTTTTCTATTCAACCACAGAATTTTGGACTTAAAAGATTTCTTTGAAGCCATCCTGTCCAACACCATGATCTTTCCTTCCACTTCTTTTTTCTATTTTCTTTGCCTACTCTCTTCTCTTGATTTTCCTCCCCAGGTATAATAACAATAACTTACTTTTACATGGCGCTCTAATTTGCAGAATGTTGTCATAAATAAATTTTCATTTATCCCTCTCAATAATTCTGGAAGATAGGCAGGGGCAGGCATATTTTTCCTATTTTACAGGTGAAAATAACATCCAAAGTTGTTAAGTCACACAAAACCTCATAAATAACAACTAGACATGAACCAACCTACTCTGATAAACTCAGACGCACGGCTTGCTTAGAGGCAAGACCTACATTCTCTTTGTTTCAGGTATTTCCTGCTTTATTCAATGCCTTTTTAGTTTAAATGAATCCCTTTAGCATTTCTGCAATACCAGTTAAATGCTGATGAATTTGTTTAGTTCTTGCTCCTCTGGAGAACTCCCCATCTCCTCTTCAAATCTTTTTTTTTAAGATTGATTGATTTATGCATACAAGACCTGGGGTGCAGACCAGAGATGCAGGGGGTGAGAGGATTCACCAGAGACAGAGTAGGGAGCAGAACAGGCAGACTGACTGAAACACACTGCTGAGGGGAGCAGCGGACGAGGCAGGAGAGGTCTGCTGTGCCATGTGGGTTGCTCCCTGGCCGACTGGGGCTCGAACTCATGCTGCAGGGGCTGCGGATTGCTTCATAGTGCGGTGCTTAACCCCTTGTGCCACCAGGGAGGCTCCTCCTCTTCAAATCTAATTGACACCCTTGGTGGGTATAGAACTGTTGGCTGAAAGTTTTCTTCCTTTCAGCACTTAGAGTATGTCTTGCCACTGTCTTCTGGCATGCAAGATTTCTGTTGAAAAGTCTGCTGATAGTCTTATAATCTCATTCCTTGTATGTGCCCTTGCTGCTTGTAAGATCCTCTAGATTTAATATTTTCCATTTAGATCATAATCTGTCTTGATACGGGTCTCTGGAGTTCTCTAGGCCTCTTGCACCTGGGTATCTGTTTCCTTCCCCAGATTAGGGAAGTTTTTGGCGATTATTTCCTCAGATATTTTTTCGTAGCCCTTTCTGTCCCTCTCCGCTCCCTCCCCCTTTCTTTCCTTCTCCCGGCCTCCACCTTTTTCTTCTGCTACTCTTTCTCCTGCAGTGTGAATATTACTCCTCTTAATGTTGTGCCAGAGGTCTCTCAGGTTTTCTTTTTTAAAAAAAAAATTTTAAAAGGCTTTCATTGTGCTGCTCTGTCTAGGTGAGTTCTCTTACATTGTGCTACAACTTACTTATTTGCTCCTCTGCTTTATCCATCTGCTATCGGCCCCCTCTATTGCATTTTTAGTTCTTTATTATAGTCTTCAGTTCTGTGACTTATTTGGATTGTCCTTAAATTTTCTACTTCTCCTTTCTTCTAAGATTGGTGAGCATTTTTATGACCATTCCTTTGAGTCCTTCCTCAAGTAGTTTTTAATGTTTCTTTAGGTCTTTCTCCAGAGTTTTGTTTTGGAGTTTTGTTTTGTTATTCTGTCTCCCTCATTTTGCCAGGTTCTCTGTGATTACTTCTGTGTTTTAGGCAACACTTATGTTTGAATACTGTGGGTTTGGTTTTATACAGGTGATATTACATGGAGTCCAGGAGCTCATCTCCCCAAATTAACCCTTCAAGTTGCATCCCCTTTGTGGGCCCTACCTCCTGTCTGCTGTGCCAGTGCAGCACTACGGGTAGGGCTGTCAGCCCCATCAGACAGCAGTGCATTGTTGGGGTTTAGCCTCAGCTCTGGACTCAGTTATGCATAGTAGGTGATGCTGTAGGTCGAATCTTGGTGTTTGGCTGCCTAAAGTTGCTACCAGGCATGTATCTGTGTGTCTATACTCCCTGACATGTTGATGTTTGCTGGACAGGCAGTGGTGTGGAGCATGTGGTGTCAGCAGGGCAGCTAACTGCTGGAGTTAGCATGGCTCTTAGTTAACTGGTGAGGCTGTAGGAAATGGGCTGGAGTAGCTGGGCTGCTGGCAGTGGTCAGGGCGTCATGTGCACATGGGTATGGTGGCTGGGGCCCGCTCAGTTAATTCTGATGCATGTTAAATGTGGAGCCACTAGGGCCAAATATCATGGCTGAATAGACCAAAGTTGCATATATTGTTTTTCTCATCTTTGATCTATGCATGTATTTATTGAGCCTACCAGGCACTGGGGTAGACACTAGGAACACAGGAACAAGCAAGGCAGATCTGGTCCTTGCCAGGCAACTGATCTGAATCCTGTCTTTGATTCTATCCTCTTGTAGGAGGTTTTTGTTCTGTATATGCCACATTCACTGTAAGAGCTCATTTTGCCATAATGCCTTAGGGAAATAGGCAGAACACAGCTTATCTTCTCCCCTTTTGTAAATGGAATCACTTTCATCATGCACAGTGAAAACTCTGTCCAAAGTCATAGTGCTTGACAGCCCAGGCTGCCCACCCTGGAGGCCTACGCCCACTGTGTGATAGAGATGCTTCTGCCAGCCTTGCCTGGTACACAGGAGGGTCTCAGCGGGCCTCTGGCTATCACTGCTCCAGAGCACAGCCCTGGCCCGGCTCCATCTCAGCCGTGGACAGATGCCCTTGGACACACGCAGTCACCTAATCACCCTCACACCTGGGCGCATCTCCTGAACATACTTGAAAACTCGGTAGAAAGTTCAGCCAGGCTGTCTGGTTCTTTGAGAGGATTATATGGAGAATTTCCACCCGCAGCAAAGCTTTTGGCCAAAATGAATATTAACAAAATGAATTGGGGGTGGGGAGGAGCAAGAGAAAAGAAAGATAAACATCTGGCAGGCGGGCTGCCACTGCTCACAACCTGCTCCCTTTTAAGTTACCCCACCCCTGCTCCTTCCCACACGAGGCCATCAGGTCAGGGAAGGGGTGGATCAGGGAGAGCAGGAGTCTCCAGCAAATTTACCTTCCAAACCTGGCCCACTTTGCCCTTGCGGGACTTGGGAAAGGAATTTTCTTTGCAAACAAGTCCCTCCCACTTGTGGCTCGGCCTATGAGGATGACCGGGCGCGGACTATGAACCGCCTGCTCTGATTGGCCCTGGGCCCCGGTGGGTAGTGCGAGCTCGTCCCAGCCTACAAAAAGGAGCTTGACCCGGGAGATGGATGGTGCCGTGCGACACGTTCCCTCCCACAGACCAGAGAAGAGGCACAATCTGCTGGAAGTGACTTTTCAAATTATCTGCAGAAAACATTAGTGGATATTTTCCCATCTGCGTGCCTCTGGGCCTTATTGAGTCATAAAAAGTAAATGATTTCCCCGAATGCTTTGACAAACCTGATCGTTCCAAGCCATTTTCTAGCTGATTGATTTGCCATTTTGCATCAGCGTGTCTTTGCGCATAAAGGCTCACTGATGAGAACCCCGGGGAGAGAGACCCGACCACGGGCAGCTCCGCGCATGTGCAGGGGCCAAGGCCCAGGCAAGCAAATGGGAGACAAGGACCGTTTTGTGAGGAGCAGCTGATGGGTAAGTCAGGAGTGCTTCACAGACGTGGTGTCTTGCAAGACAGACTTAAGGATGCGTAACTCTTGAGACAAGAGTGGGAAGAGACAATTAACACAGAAGGAAAAAAAAAAAAAAGAGGAAAACAAGCAACTTCCTCTGCCTGCCCTAAGCCAAGGTTGGAGAGAGCATAGATAAGGTGACCAAAGGCTGCAAATAGGAAGCTCACTTGGAGGGACAGTTGAGTGGAGCCTTTGCAGACAGCACCGTGGCGCGGCGGACGGGCCTTCTCAGTGAAGGGTTGGCTGAGACCAGGATCTGGAGTTGGCCCCAATTCAGACGGAGGAGCCCATCGATCCTGCTCAACAAGGGCACCTTTTCAGGCAGCTGTTTTGCCCTGGAAGAGGTGTGTTCTGTGCCAGCTTCCAGGGCCGCCCTCCATCGACTGGGCCAGGAACACAGCCGCGAAGCCCCTCAGGCTACCGCGGAAGGAAGGGGCACTGAAGTGTTTGCTGTGTCAGGCCAAACTTTGGTCATCCTGGGGAAGAAAGGCAAGTTCTGACCTTTCCCAATTGTTGTGGAAAAAAGGCCAAGCCGCTGCTGCGAATTTATTCCCCTCGGGGCTTCCTGAGCACCAGGGCTGCCCACCGCAGCCTCCCACCACGGTGGGGATTTGGCACAGGACAGATGGGGGTTAGAGCAGCAGCGAGGAAGGAGTGGGGTTGCTAATGCCGCTAATTTATTGAAGATCTGTGAACGGTGCAAAGGGCAGGCATCACAGCAGAGACCCCAAACCAGCTGCGGACAAAGCAGCTGTGGACAGCCAGATGGGCGCGTCCTCCCGCAGCACCTCCCAGCTGCCAAGCACCCACGAGAAACATGGGACACAACCCACCCGCCAGGAGAAGGCCACGTGCAGGGTGCAGCGTATGAAACAGACAAATGCTTCCGCGCCAGAGGGTGAAGGAACAGCGGCAGGTGGGGCCTCTGGACACCGCCTGGTAGAAGGTGACAGAGGGACACTCAGAACAGGCACAGAAGTCAGCTCCAGAGCGAGGCAGGGAGAACACGAGCAAAGGCCCTGCGGGTCACGCTGCCACCCGAGCCCCTGGCCGGGGAACACGCCTCTGGGGGGTTCAATGGTAACAGGCCAGGCTGGGCAGGGGCCTCAGGGAGGACACTGAGTCCAACTGCAAAGGCAGGAGTGAGGCCTGAGCCCTTGCTCTGGGCCAACGAGGGAGCCGGGAAAGAACTTGCCCCCCTGGCACCTGTGTCCCAGATCCTCCCACAGCAAGGCCCGCCCAGCTCGGGCCCAGCCGTGTGTCGTGTCTACTCCCCGGCAGACTCCTCGCATGCGGGGGGCACAACAGCCTGACTCCTCACTTCCGCCCCACACGGCCCCCCCGCGCCCTCTCGCCATGCCAGCGCTTTCTTAGATCAACAGAGCAACGCCCCCTTCTCCACCCCAGGCTCACCGTGACTCGGGAATTTTGCCCAACATGGGCTCTGCCCTCGCCGCGCCTCCCCTGCCTGTGCTGCGCCGGCGCCTCTGTCTGAAAGGCTCACGCCACCTACCCGAGCCCGCCCCGGTCCTTTAACAACCACCAAGAAGCCAGACACCCCCTGCCGGACCAGCCCGTGTGGCCCTTGGCAGGTCCCGCCGTTTATGAACAAGCCTCTCTCTCCTCATCAGATAACGGGATCCCAATGGGAGCTGCTGAGACTTGGACTCCTGCTCCCCAAAATACCCCACAAGATTCAGTGCATGGAACTGCTTAATAAATGTTCGTGGCGTGGGATTAAGCCTGGAACTTTCTCAGAGCATTGTCCACCGGGTAGCGAAGAATTCCAGGATGGCTGCCCTGACCCCCACCTCAGCCCCTCCTGCTCTGTGCTCCCCAAGACCAGGTCTGGGGACCTTCCAGCAGGCCATTTCTCGTCATCTCTCGGCCTTTACCCTCCCCCCACAGTGGAGACCATGAATAGGTATTTTACTGACAAATGTCACCGTTTCCTTTTCCATATTTAGGCACAGAACGAGCTGATGAATTCAGGCTTGTACCTGGTGCTGCTGCTGCACCTCTACGAGCAGAGGTTTGCGGAACTCATGAGACTCAACTACAACCGCATCAGGCGCGAGAGGGTAAGTCTGACCCCGCCCCACCACCCGGCAGCAGCCCCCCGAGCCCTACCCCCCCATTCACTGGCTGTGCACACTGCGGAGATGCTCAGGATCACTTGGTAGGAGAGTGGCGCTGTCACCGTTAGGCCGGAGACTTGGTGTCTGCTAAGCGTGTGCACCGTGGCCCTTGGCTGAAAAGCCAGATCTCCTAACTGCTCGCCGGGAAACAGGAGGAGTAGTGGAATAGTCATCAAGGGCCATATAAGCAAGCACGTCTCTAGAGATGTCCTCCCCGTCCCCAAGATGGACCGGCAGGAAGGCTGGAGTTGGGGGTGCATGATATGTGGGCGTGCCCACTGCCCAAGCCTGCAGGCCCCGGCCCCCAAGGAGCACCCTTTAAACACAGAGGACTCCTGCGCGGTCTGCCTTGGAGCCCGGGGTGCCCGCCCAGCCTCTGGTGATTCCCTGTGCCAAGAAATCAAGGTGCTAGAGGTGTCCCCACATGTCATGAGAGACATGAGGGTGCATTTAGCAGGGCTGCTCTCTGTGGCCAGCCCCACCCCCAACAAGAGGACCGAGGGCCCTCTAGGAAGCTGCGTGGTGTGAGGGGGCGGCTGTAGCTGCCGCAGCCTGGTCGTAGCAACAGCCACCGGATGCGGGAGGCGGGCAGGCAGCCTCTGAAGTGTCCATGCCCCCTCGGTCCTTGTCACAGCAGATCCCTGAACCCCGAGGAACTTCCCCTGGTTAAATGCCTCTCTGAGGCCTAGCAGGGGAGGGGGAGCACCTGCCTCACTTCGAGGTCATGCTAGGTGCTGACCTAAATTTAGTGTTTTGGGTTCCCAGAACACCCTTGGGGTTGAAACTTGACCTCTGCTCACACCAGAAGGTCATCCCAGGAAAGCCAGCCGGGGCGACCGTGGACCATCACCCACCATGCCATGAGGCAGCTCAGGGGGTCCTCCCCACCCCCACTTCCCTCCCTGTCCGTCTCCTCTTCTACCTCAAGTGGACAAGTGGCCAGGCCAGCGCCATCACCGCCTGGAGGCTGGAGCCCAAGGGTTTCCGGGTGTCCTTGCGTGGCCACAGACCCCGAAGGACCGGAGGCTGTGTTGAGCCACATGGGTCACATCTCTATTAGGAATGCGGGCTTGAAGTTGTAGTCAGAGAATTCTCCATTTGCCCCTTCTGTTTTCTGACTTAAACTCTCCCCTTCGAGTGTCAGCTCTTCCTGAAGAGAACAGGCTGGGTCTGCGCCAGCCCAGCTCCTCCGGAACCTCACCCTCTTTGTGACCCAGGCCAGTCTTCCCTTCAAGTCTTCCACAGCTTGGACGGGGACATAAATCCCACAGAGAAATCCATTTTCAAAAGCACAGGAAGCAGGAAATGATCCTTTGTTAGCATTTCTGTAACCTCATTTTCATGATCCCACATCTCCCTAATGAACTTTTTTACTACACGCTGAGCTGCCGCGCACCCGGGGGAGACAGAGCTTGCAGATGGCCGCAGCGGCAGCGGGATGACACAGCGGCGGCCTCCAGGGCCGCAAGGCAAACTCCAGAGACGACACGCCACCAGCCCCCAGGGGGACCGCCGAGGCCCAGAGCCCTGACTCTTCAGAACCTTCTGGTGAAACTATCCTAGGGAAGGAGTCGGTGTCACCGAGGCTGGGCTGGGAACCAGGGCGGAAGGAAGCAGACAGGCCAAGGAGCACTGTCGGGCCTGCACCACGGGCCTCCATTTCACGTGAGCAAAAGGAAACAGATCTCACCCACTTCAACCACCAAGCAAAACCCGGCCCACGTCACCAGGAAGAGGAACACAAATAGGAAAACATGGGGCTTTTGTCAAGTTCCCACTCTTCCGGATTTTCTCATGGAAAACACTCCAGATTTCAGGGCAATGTTTAGCCAAAGAGAGGTTCATCGGGAGAGAATCCCCTTCCCCCTCCCCTCCCGCTGCCAGGCTTCTGGGTCCTGTGCCTTCAAGATACAGGGTGAGGACCATGATTCATGCACCAAGCCAGGGGCCGAGAGGGGCCTCAGGTGACGCGTCTGCCACACTCGACACCATGATGTCCCTTTGCTGGAGGAGGCATTGGGCCAGCTGAGAGATGAGACTCACATCTTTATAAAACCAGCAAAAGAATTGGGAAGTTGCACCCGGTCAAGAGGACCCGCTGGGCCTACTGAATTCTCAGAGGCTGTGAAATTGGCAACACAAGGTCTTCTCGGGCTGGGGCTTCCTGAGGGTTCTTGTGAACCCACAGACAAGCTGTCTGCCCAGTGAGGCCATGAGCCATCTGAAGGCCAAGTGAAGCCTTCTACACCTGGCTGCCTCACAGAGGCCCACACTAGACCACTGCCCGTGCCCCCAGAACCTTGGGTGCCAGGAGCATTGAGGGTTTAGCCAAAGAGGGGTTAGCCAAAGTTTGGCACAAAAGTGCCAGATAAAAGCATGGTCTGAAGGGGGTGGTTATGAGCAAGTTGGGCGTGGAGGCTTTATCTCCTCTGTGTCCCACAGGCCTAGGGAATGCCTGGCACGCAGCCCATGCTCAATAACTTTGATGCTCAGACAGTGAACTCATGAACCAGAACCTGCTTCTTCTACGAGGCAAGTCCTGAGTTGTGTTTGGAGGAAGTGACAGTACACATCAGTGCAGAGAAGGTATTCTAGCAAAAGAACCACTCCCATGCCCAAGGTATATTCATTTAGTCAAAGACTTCCTGTACACCTACTGTGTGCCTACTGTGTGCCAGGTTCTCAATGACATTCTGGAAACCAAGGTGAATAAGACACCTCTTGCTGCAAGGGACTCAGAGTCTAAAGAGAGACTAGATGTATAAGTGGGACCACCCAAGGATGTTGTATTGGCATGGAAGATGGACCCAGAGGTGGAGGAAAGTAGAGGAGAGTTAGACTCCATTCTCTCCCCCTCCTCCTCCTCCGGGACATGCTCCAGGCCACAGCTTCAGGGACATTCAGGGCTTGCTTTTTTTTTATTTTTTTTTTTATAGAGGCATGTTTTATTTATTTATTTTATTTGTTTGTTTTGTTTATACATGCACTGGGTACAGTCAGAAGCGCGGGAGGGTGAGAGAATTCACCAGAGCCAGAGCGGGGAGCAGAGCAGGCAGAAGGACCGAAGTACACTGCTGAGGGGAGCAGCGGGCGGCAGGAGAGGTCTGCGCGCCATGTGGGACCCTCCTCTGGTGGCCGGGGAGCAGCTGGGGATCGAACCGGCGCCGCAGAGGCCGCGCGCAGCTTCGCAACCCAGCGCTCAACCGCTGCGCCACAGGGGAGGCCCAGGGCTTGCTTTTTAATTCAGTTAGGTTGGACTCTTTGCCATCAGCCTCCCCACTGCTCCAGGAACCTGAAGGCAGAGCTGATTCCACGATCACTGCCATCAGCTGATCAGCTCGGGAGGTGATGTTTGATGCAAGTCGTAGAGAGTTTAGCAGATGGACAAGAGTAGGTGGGGAAGGAAAAGGCATTCTCCGCACCAGGAAGCCCAGAGGTGCAGAGATATGAAGACTTGCCTGTTTGGCAAAGTCAAGGAGTTGAGTGTGTCTGGGACGGGCAGGAAGTGAGCCTGGAGGCGTAGGAAGGGAGCAAACGAGAAGGGTTTGCATGCCTGGATTTCTACCCCAGGATTGTAAACCGGGAGGTTTGCAATTTGGAAGCAGAAGTGGCGCTGCCTTGCAGAGAGCGCCTGGAAGGGGGAGAAGCCAGCTGGGCCCTCCCCATCCTTAGGCGCTGAAGCTCCTGGGCAAGAGGCGGCCCTGTCTTCGCCGGGTGTGCTGGAGTAACTCTTCACCTCCGTGAAAACCTTCATGTGTAGGAAACTAGCGGGCAGGGCAGTCGCTGACCTGGGAAAGCCACAGTCCACCCACCCATCTCTGCATGAGGCCAGAGGGACCACCTCCTCCTCTTGCTCCTCAGGCATGAGAAAGGACCTAGAGGCCAAACTGGCCTCCACACTGGCCAGGCAGTTGCCCCAGTAACAGTGTCCAGCACCCCAGCTTTTGTCCCCCAGCCTGTCACAAAGGCCTTCTTCTCTGGGGAAGAACACCAGCCCACAGCACCGCAGCCCCATCACGGCAGCCTGGCACAATGGGGTTCCATGGAGACACAGTGTTTCTTTTTGTGGCATAAAAATGCCATAAAGTCAGAACAAAGAGGGATCCAGAGCCTTGATGGGCCTGCTGCTTCCTGCCAGGCAGAGAATACAACCGATTGTTTAAAAGCCAGTGGCGAGGCAAGTGGCCAATTAGCACCGCCTTCACCCCCGCAGCCTGTGGCCGTGACTGGGACGGTCAGACGGGCTCGGCTGTTCAGATCAGTTGCTGAACGGAAGCAAGTCTGTTCGCTGCCAGAGTCGGAACCAGGGAAGGTGACCCGGGTGAAGGCTGCTGAGGCGGGCAGGTGCCAAATATAACTCTGCCCCAGCACCCCCGCCTCGCCCGGCCTCCCTGGCCCTTTAAGGCGAATAAGGGATTCCTAGAACGTTCCCCAGACCAGGGGATCATGCGTCTGTTCACAGTTGCTCTGGAAAAACAATTCACTTTTCATTGTCTTCTTTCTCACAGTTGTCAAGAAATTACCCACAACCCAGACCGGAAGAAAATGAAAGTAGGTCGGGGGTCGCCTGCCCCGTTGAGGGCCTGTGCGCCTTTCTGTTCTGTCATGCCCTACCCCTCAGGCTGGGGGCGAAGGAAGGAGCACCCCCCAGGGGCAGAAACAGCCCCGCAGAGCTTGGGAAAACTGCCGAGCTGCTGGGTGCAGTGCAGATGAGAGTTTTAAGTCATCCTGAAGAGGAAAAGGGCCCACAAAGGGGAGGCCTGTCCTGTGGGGCGCAGGTGACTCCAGGGGCATGACTGACTGCAGCGGGCTTTTCTCCTTTTCCTCTGCTGGGGTTCTCAAGGGCTGGGGTGAGGGGGGGCTCTCAGGTTTTCTGCTAAGCCCTGGAAGGGGGCTGTTCAGCCATTACCCAAGAGGACACTCCTGGGCCCCTCACCATCCCCCCATCAAGTGGGCCTGCTGGGTTCAGACATTCAGCAGGAGAACGGGCTGCTGAGAAAGGCCCCTCCGAGGCGGCAGGACGGGCGTCTTCACGCGCCCCGTTATCGCATGGGCACTCCACCCGAAGGGAAGGTGCTTCGCTGGCCAGGGCGGCGCTAGCCGCGGGGTGGCAATTCCGTGCCGAGAGGGCTTGGCGGGGAGAGGGCAGGGGTTCCAAGCGTCTCCCCTAAAAGACTTGGAACAGTGATGCCCGAGCGGGCTTTACCGCGGGCCTCACCTGGGGAACTTAGGAAAAGGATTCTCAGCCCCTCCCAGAGATTCCATCCAGGCCGCGCGACCCCAAGGGGCGGCCCTCGTGGCCCCAACACAGCCGGGTCCAGTGATGCTCTAGGGGACCCCAATACACAGGCCTCGAGGGGGTGGACCAGCCCACATCTCCGCAGGGTGGGGCCCAGATTCTGGCACTAGCGAACCCCACTTAGTATTCCGGGCACGCGGGCCGAGGCGGGGCGCACCGCGTCCAGAGCCGCAGGGGGCGCTTCCCGGGCCGGGTGGCCGCGCGCCGGGAGGGGAACCCGCTGCCCTCCTCGGAGCCGGCGCCCCCTCGCCGCTGCGCCCCCTCGAGGCCCTCAGCCCGGCCTCCCGCAGCGCCCCGGCTCGGGAGGGGGCGCGACAGGGAGCCCCGGGGCGCCTCGGTGGGCGCGCGGGGGAGGACTCGGGCCGGGCGCCCTCCCCGCCCCACCCGGGACGCCGCAGTTCCCCGGGCGGGACCTCGCGGGCCCCGCGGCTCGGTGGGTTCGGCGAGCCGGGGGCGCCCCCTACTGACCGCCGCGGGCGCGGCCGCCCTGCTCCCCCGGAGGCGCTGGCCGCGCGCGAGCCTTTCCCCCGGGCGCGGCGCCTGGCGGCGGAGGCTGGAGAAGCGCATCCTAACCCTAGAAAGGAATCCCGGCGGAGGGGCCGCCACGGGCCCCCCCCCCCCCCCCGCAAGCGCCCTGCGCGCTTGCTGCTGCCCTGGCTCCAGGCGGCAATGGGGAGCAGCCATTTCTCCCCTGGAAACGTGGGTGAGATTCCTCTCTCTCTGCCTGCAGCCCTGCACGCTGCCCCAAACGCGGGCGAGCCCTGCCCGGGGCGCGTCCTGGCAGCTGGTCAGAGGCAGCCTTTGCCTGGCTTCCTGCCAGAGCCACCACCAGACAAGAGCCAGGACAGCAGAGGGCAGAGCCACATGGCTGGCGCCCTCCCCAGGGCCCCACTCTTCTTTGGTCCCCAGCAGCCTGGCATGACTCACCTGGTTGGCAGCCTTTGCTAAGAAAGGTTGCCAGAGCTGAGTCACAGCTGTGACCTGCCACCCTAGCTCGGTTCAGGTGAACCGGGAGGAGGGGAAGGGCAAAACACTAGGGCGCACCAGATGGCCCAAAGAGATGCCAGCCTCTTTGTGACTCTGTGGTTCCCTTGCCAACCCGCTCACCGGGCACCCCTCCCTGGCACCTGGGAACAGAGGCCATACACACAAGTGCCACAGGTGGTGCCAAGGTAAGGGCAACTGACCCAGCCTCCCCCTACATCTGCTCTCCAGTTGGCACAAACGACTGTCAACACAGCCAGGTTCAAGGCCAGGGAAAGGAACGATGCCTCCTGCCGTCATCAGTGTGGGTGTGGACAGGCAGGGCAGGCAAGAGGCCCTTGGGGCAGAGCAGAGCACCCTCCCCCCAAACATGCACACACGCACAAGTCGAGGCAACTTGCTTTTGGGGAAAGAACAGGGTGGAGGAGGTGGAAACTTACGAGGGCCCGGAAAGCATGAGGGGATAGCAATGGCTCCCACTCCCTGGCCGTCTTCAACAGTCAGAAACCACTTCCAAATCAGGGGCACCCACTCAAGCCAATGGGAAGAAACATACCCAGAACAGGAGTCCTCGCCCAAGAATAAAGAACAATGCCCCACTCTGCCTCCTCTGCTCAGGCCCACTGGCTCCTCGCGCTCCTTCCGTCCATCACAAGACCCCCTGCCTTCAGCTGAGTAATGGCCAAAAGACTTCTGGAAAAGCTGGGTTAATTCCCCCTTCCCTACTGCCAAGTTCAGGAGTGGGAGATTATGTGGGGTCATTCCCCCGAGGCGAGGCAAAGACTCCTCCAGCCGTTCAACCTGCAGGCATCTGCAGACCAGGCCATGGGGGGGATGTGAAGGTGGCCGAGATGCTTTGGTTGAGGGACTTACAGTCCAGCCACTGTGGCCTGGCCGAAGGCCCAGGGCAGCCAGCGGGGGATTCCTCAGGTCGTGTCTGCTCCCCACACTGTTCCGGGAGGGGGGAGGGGGCTGGTGGCTGCACCTGGGTGGGGGCAGGAAGGGCCGTACTCCTCCTGCATGACAGATCCCCTCTGCCCTGGCTCCAAGCCTGAGAGATCTCCTTGCTTTCCAGATTCCGAGTTGGGAGATGAAAATGAAAGCAGAGTTGATCAAAGCAACAGCCGGGTCGTCTAGCAAGGGAGTTGGCCGTGGAGCTTGGCCAAGACTCTCCCTTCAGTCGCCCTTGCTATGTACCCACGAGCCCCTTCCTCCTCCTCTTCTCTGAAACTGAAACCAGTATGTTCACAGTTACTCTTGTCATCTAAGCCACTCTCTTCTTGGGGTCTGTCTTGAGGACCGATGCAGCGACAGAGACCAGCTCAGTCCCAGGCAGCACAGGCCAAGCAGCCTGGGCTCACCGAGCTCCCCCAGGGTGCTCTGCTGCCGCCCCTCAGGCCAGAAGCCCAGGGGCCCCAGCAGTCTTAACAGGCCCAGCGGCCTGCAGAGGGCGCCTGCTCAGGCCTCACTCCACCCCCAGCGGGATCGAGCCGCGTGTACAGTAAACTGGCTTTTTTCACCCAGCTTCATCTTGTGGTTATTTCAACCTCCTTAGACAAAGACGCGGGGCTCCAAACCCAGTAGTCCAGGAAGGACATCTCACAGCCCGCCCCCCCACCTCCATGTCTCCTTGCTCCCGACCATCACCACCATGAGGGATGACACATCCTGAACCCCCACAGGCCGGAGGCCTGCCACCCCTATAAGGACCCACTCAGGACCTGGCTGGGATGTGCACTCACAGCCCCTCCTAGTTATGTCTTAAAGCCCAAAGGCCAGGTCAAGACTTGAGGTGAAAGAAAAGCTCAGGGAAGGCTAGTGAGAAAAGAAAACTACGAGAGACAAACAGACGGACAGTCAAAAAAACAAGGGAATGAACTACAGACACATGAAAACATAGTGCTAAGACTCTAGAAGAGACATTCAGGTTGAAAATATCTCCGTGATGGAAACAAAAATCCTGAAACCTCAAGCTCCTCCACTCCCAAAGAAGGCCCCAAACCATAATCAGTCTGTTTTTAACATGTTTAAAAACAGTAGATAAAAAAATGTGTCCCGGAGCCAACACTGAGAAAGGCCTCAGCGGGAACAATGCGTCTTTTAAAAAGTCATGTTATTATAGAGCGTGTGATGGAATTTGAGGTGGTGTGGCCACATCCTGGGGTGGGATCCCCAGGAAGATGTGGAGTGTTGGGGGCAGCTGCCCCACTCCCATCCCAGGTTTGTAGAAAGGAATTCAAAGATTCACTCCCCTACCCAGCAGTGCCCCCTTGGGAGCCCGCGGGCAGCTGACATCACCTGCACCTCATTCAACATGGCTACAGCCCAGGGGTCCCTGTGGGGCGCTCAGGCCTGGTGCCAGAAGACTGAGTTTCACTGATTAAGACACTGCTGGAAAGGCAGCTGACCCCTTCTAACTGGGCAACGGTGCCAGAGTCTGGTAGAGGCAGAGACTCATGTCTTTCTGAGCTCTTGGCTCTTCGGGCAATGGTGTCAAGACCCTCAAACAATTACTAGCCATCAACGTGCCGGGTGTGAGGACACGGGAACAGGCACCATGCCCACCCACCTGGAGCCCCATCTGATACAGATGTACACAGAAAGAGTCAAATTAAGGTCTTATGACCTAACGGTGCCACTTTCAGCACTTGCTATGAGCTGGGTCTGGTGATGGTTATTTTACACCCACCCTGACTCTCCCAACAAGCCCGGGAGCAGACACTATCCACCTCATTCCTTCTGGTTACACAGGAGGAACCGGGATTAGGTTCCCCAGAGAAACAGAACCTATACGATATATGCAGATGCAGACAAAGGGACTTATTGTGAGGGGTCATGGGGGCAGAGAAGTCTCATAACCTGCCATCTGCAAGCTGGTGACCCAGGACAGCCGATGGTGCAGCCCCAGTTCAGACCCCAAGGCCTGAAAACCAGGCACCAGTAGTCTGAGTCCCGGCTCGAGAGCAGAAGTGATGATGGTCCAGGGCAGGAGAGGATGATGGCCCGGCTCCAGCAGAGAGCAAACTGGTCCTTCCTCCCCTTTATTGTATCCGGGTCCTCAAGATTGGATAACGCCCGCCCACATGAGGCAGGGGAGTATTCTTACCTCAGTCTACCAGTTCAAGGTTAATCTCTTCTCACACACACGCAGGAATGTTTCACCGGCAACCCAGACATCCCTTAGCCCAGTCAGGTTAACACATAAACTGGGCCACCACAAAACCCGTAACCTCAGGGAAGTTAGTGATCGACACACCCTAGTTTACAGGGAAGGAGCCCTGTCAAGGCCCAGCTCCCGGCCTGCAGGAGAGAGAAACATCCTCAACCAGCCCCGGAAACCAGGTCTAGGGGGTCACAGGGGCCGTGTGGTGCAGAAAAGCCACAGGGCGGAGAAAAGGGCCTTGAAGAATGGGGGAGCCTCGGCAGGCAGAGGTGGAGGGACGGGCCAGCACACACAGGTACAGGGCCAGGGGGAGCAGCTGGCTGGAATGGGGTCACTGCACGGGGAGCCGGGAGCCCCCAGTCGGCACTGGGAGTCCCTGGTTTGCACTGACTGCCAAGGGAGACGCCATCTCAAGGGCAAAGCCCCTATTGTGGCTTTGCTCCATCCCTTCCTCCAGGCCTGGCTGCCTGCCTGCCCGCCCACTTCTCTGCCTAAGGAAGGACTGAATCCGCAGCTCCAGGGGGGGTGATTCCAGAGGGAGTCAGTCAGCCTTTCCCGGGGCCTCTCTGGGTCTGGCCTCCATGATGGGGAAAATCAGGCCCGACTTGAACGTCTGGGCATTTTCATCTGCCCATCCTCCCGCGGCCCCTCCTTTCTTCCCTCTTCCTGCCTGCCTTTCTTGGGGTCCTCCCTCGAAATGTGATTTTTTACCTTGTCCCTGCTAGACACAAACCCTGGGGCTTGAGAGCTCCTGGCAGGGCCTGGGCGGCTCCGTTCCCAGACAGCCACGTGGTGTGGCTGGCCAGCTCCTCACCCCGCGGCCCCACGGCGCTGCCCACCGGGCCAGACTGGCTCTGCCAGGGCTCTTGGGAGGAGGCCATTTCTGGCTTGCCTGACAAGAAGAGATTACTGAAAAGGCTTGGCACGGTTCGCTGGAAAGCAGCTCCATCCCCCGCCATTCACTCCTGGATCAGTGAGGTGTCACTGACCATCCAGGGGGCTGGCTGGACTGGCCCATTACTTGGCCACTTGGCCCAGGGCTCCCAGGACAAGTCTCAGGGCACCCCACCCAGCAAAGAGGGCATGGGGAGGAGGTGCCTAATGCTTGCCGCATTAAATAAGGAAGAAGAAAGGAGGCTAAACCTAGTCTTTTCTAGAACAGCGCTGTCCTGAAGCCACAGACAAAGGCCTCAGCCCACAGACTTCCTCCTGTCCCCAAGGAGAGCTATCAGAGGACCCCTTACCCTCCTTGGGGCAGGAGCCCCCAAGCAGAGGTTTATAAAAAGGTCTGGAGTGGGCCCAGGTGCCTAGGAAGGTGTCTGAAATGCTTGCTGCTGGGCGCAGGACTCCAGCTACCCAAGGAAAGCAGCAGAGTGAAGCTAGGAAGTTTCTGGCATGAGTTAAATCTCTGGACACTCGTCAGTCACGGCCCCCAGGCAGCACTGGGCGTCTGGGTCCTCCTTCCTCTGCTGCCCCGCCCGGCCCCTGGGAGCCCGTGACCTTGCCTGCAGCCCTCAGCTTTTCTTCTCTCCAGGACAAGAGTTAGACTGGGCTTCCCAGGGGGCATCACCCAGATGGCTCCCCTACAGTCTGGTCATGGCCAGGGGCAGGCTGCTTAAATCACACAGGACGCTGTCTCCAGTTGGAGAGTGCAGGGTAGGGAAAAGTATCAGGCTTTTCTGCTCTCCTGCCATTAGCACAGATGAGGGAAACCTGTGGTCCCGAATGCATGCCTGATGGCGGGCACCTGGCGTAGGGTGTGGGCACAGGTAGATGGGATTCACCTGGGCTTATAAGGGCGGCGTCACGGAGACGCCAGGGGAAGCAGAACCACGAGAGAAGCAGAGAGAACACCAGAGAGCCCAGACAGAGTGAAGACTTGCTGGGGGCTGGGAGGCCTGCCAGTGTGCCTGGTAAATCCTGCCTGCCGTGTGCCTGGTAAATCCCCATAAAAGCCTGAAAAGCCACTGAGGCCTCCAGGACTCTCCCTCCTTCACCCCGGTCTTCTGGATCAGAAAACCTGCACAGTGCCCTCCTGCCCTTACAGAGAGCGAATCACTTCAGGGTGAAGTGGATCAGGGCTCTCCCAACCCCCACGGGTTCTGCTGCTGCCTGTCAGGAGAGCTGATGTGGGCTACAGGGCTGTCAGCCACAACCTTTGGCGCCTTCCGTCCCTGCCTCGGTCCTCTCCCGGCACACTCAGGGCTGAGCAAACACACCTGCCCTCCCTGCAGACATGGGCCTTCGAGGGTGCCTGTGAGCTCACAAGGCGACTGCAGCGTCAAAGAAATTGTTAGGCTTTCCCGCCCTCCTGCCATTAGCATTAATGACAGATCCCTGCGGTCCTACACGCAGGCCTGCCGGCGGGCGCCTGAAGAAAAGGGTGGGCCTGCACAGGTGGTGCACCGGGGCTGTGAGGTTGGGCTTAGAGGGATGGTGTCAGGGGACGCGCCAGGAGAGCAGCACAAAGATGGAGCAGCGGAAGCGGCAGCAGAGAAACAGACGACGAGAGAACGCTCGAGAGCCCAGAAAGAGTGAAGACTTGCCAGGGGCCAGGAGGCCTGCTGTCTACCTGGTTGCCGCACTACAAATGATGTAAAAAGCTCAATAAAAGCCTGAAAAAGCCACCGAGGGCTCCAAGACCCTCCTTGACCCGTCTGCCCGGATCACAGACAAGCTGCCCTGTGCCTTGCGGGCGCTGCAGCAACGGTGGGACCTGAGGCAGGTGCCCCCCTGCAGCGCTGGGGGCAGGGTGAGCGAGGCTTCGCAAGGGAGGCCTTGTATAGTGGCCGGGCTTTGAGCCACGTGATGGAATCACCTGTTCAGAAAAGTAGAAACTTGCCTTAAAAACCACGGACAAAGCAAACCAGACACATGTGCGGCGCCCAGGACCCGACCCCGGCTGTAGTCCCCACCCAAACCGCTGACCTGGCGGGTACGGTAGCCCCGACGACGACGCCCCCCCCCCCCCCCGAAACCCACAGCTCACCCGCTGCTGTGGCCAAGGCGCTGGGCCGTCACCTCCCTGACCTGGCGGCTCCACCATCCCCTTCCTCTGCCTCCAGCCAGACAGGCCTCCCGGCTGGTCCTCCGGAGCACCAGGACCCCACGGCAGGGCCAGCACAGCCTGGGCCTCCCATGCCCCGCGCCTGGGACCCGGCCTGGCCATGTCTTCCTTGCTCTCCCACCTGCTTCAGGCTCCCGCCGAGCGCCCTCTGGCGAGATCCTCCACCACCGCCTCACGCCTCCTGCTTTGGGCCTCCTCACAGCCCCTGGGCCACCCGGCAGTCGCTAGTCCCGTGTGGGCAGGGCCTTCTCTGCGCTTTGTTTCCAGCTCACATATCCTGACAAG